TAAAAAAATTTTCATAATTACTAAATTATTTTATTATTATGTCTATTTTTAGTTCCTCCTGAACGTGAAGTTATCAATAAAGAACGTTTATCGGGATCATATCGGCTTTCAGCATATTATTTAGCCAAAATGGTTGGTGAACTACCGCTAACAATACTTTTGCCGGCAGTTTATCATATAATTAGCTATCCTATGCTAGGCTTTCACTGTCCAGCAGTTTTTATCACATTACTCGCCTTTTTACTTCTAAACACTGTAGTGGCACAGGTATAAACTGATGAATCTTTTTCTTACAAGTTAGACATTTATTGTTATTATTATTATTATTATTATTATTATTATTGTTATTGTTATTGTTATTGTTATTGTTGTTATTATTATTACTTTGGTAATTATTTCCAAGTCGGGTCCATAATATCAATCTATACAAATGATATTTAGAATTTTTTTTGTACAATCACATTTCTTTCTCTTACAGTTTATTTAAAAAAAAAAACTTGGAAAAAATAATAGAAAAATAAAAAACTTGATATTTTCAAAATTTTCTTTTTTAAATTATTTTCTTTACTCGTAAATTACGAAAAAAATACTAGAATTCGTTTGACACATATGCAAGCATTTCATTAACGGTTTTCGATTAACGTAAGATTTTTGTTGACATCAAAAGCTTTAGAACTACTAAAAAAAAATTTTTTTTTTTACTATTTTGATAAATTGTATTGTATATCCGCAGTAAAATAAGAATAATTTTTGAAAAATATTCGACAATACTTATTTTTGATATTTTATTGCGAAAAGTAGAGAGGACCTCACTTCTAAAAAATTACTCTTGGGTCTTCGGTAGCATAATTTTAGCGGCAAGTACAACTTGTCAGAAATTTAATATTACTTATCCGATAATTTTTCTCAGGTACTTTTAGCGTAGACATTATAAAAATTTTTAGTTTAACATAATCTTTTAGCCCAATCAATGGTTACACTGTAGAAAATCGGGAAAGAATTGGGAGTGTATTTTACTCCGCATTCACTCCCATCACTCGGAGTACCGGAGTGAAGTAATTCAACACTCCGCATTACGGAGTTCTTATACTAAAATAAATTTTTATTTGACTGAAACAAATTTTATGTGCAAAATTATTTTTTTTTCGTCAATATGGAATAAATAAATAAATAAATATATATATTTATTTCATTTGTGAAATATATAAAACTGGAACAAATAAAAATTTTGAAAAAATTCAAAATTAAAAACACTTAATTTCTAGAAAAAAATTTTATTCGATCAGTAAAAAAAAATTTTTGTTTAATAATCCGAATCCAAGAAAAAAAAATAAATTAGAAAAAAAAATTTTTTTTGATTTGTATAAAAAAATATTTAGATTTCCACTACCAGGATGAATATTAATAATTAGTCCTTAAGTAACATATTATTTTATTTTATTTATTTTTTAATTCCTTATTAAAATTAATACTTGTAAAACGGAAAGGGATGTAAAAGGCCATTCAGGCCATACATTATATGAATAAACTACTACTACTATTTAGATTTCAAATTTTTACAGAAATTAAAAAACGATTTATTAATTGTAATTTTTAAAATCTTGAAATACGCATTTTATAATTTTCAAACGAGTCAGGAACAATTTTTTTCTGCGCTAAACAAAGTTGCCACATTCCGGCTACGTCGAGCAGAAAAATAGTATACACACCTTAGCCAGTAAAAAGTAAAGCCTCAGCCTCGGCTTCGCCTCGGCCAACAATTACATGTGATCTGAGACTTTTCTTATTTTACTGGTCTAGGTATGTAATATACTATTTATTTTTATTCAATAAAAGAAATAAAAAATTTACTCCGTGGAGTGAAATCTATTAATAATATAATTTAAACCCATCTCGGAGTGAACTTCACTCCCGGAGGGAGTAAATCAATTGAAAATCATCCACTCCGCATTCAGTCCGAAAATTTTTTACAGTGTATAGATTGCACGTTTCAGAAGTGCTGATTTGGAGTTAGCTCATTCAAAAAATTGAGCAATAAATTGTGTTGCGTTATAATATAATACGCGTATGGAAGCATGCTACAGGGAATTTTTAATAAGTCCATTAAGCAAATACTTTTTGACTAATGAACTTTTTGTTTATAGAGTGTTGGTTTTTTCGTTGGGGCTTGTTGTTTGGATCTACAAGTAAGCATTACAGCCTCTGCACTATACACTCTGGCTACACAATTATTAGGTGGTTACCTTGCTACTTCGGTCCCACCCTGGCTTGCCTGGGCACGTTACTCTAGTATGGTACACTATGCTTACCAAAACATGCAAATAGTTGAATTTGGATTTGGTGAGCCCATCGCGTAAGTAACTCTTGTTACTGTCATTTTAAAAATATGTACCATTTTATATAATGATGTAAGGATTAATACTTTACATTTTAGATTAATTTAAAAAAACTCAATTATTTTATACAGATGCTCACAACCAAGTAAATTCCAAGAGTGCAAAAACGGAACAACAATACCTGTCTCAGCAATACTTGAAAATCAAAATGGTGTTCGGGGATCTGGTTTACCTCTTTGGTCTAACACAGCTGTTCTTTTAGCATTTTTGATGATATTTCGAGCACTTGGGTATCTTGTTCTTCGTTATTATCGAATACCCAAGTAATTATTTAACTAGTTTGATTAGCCCTGCTGTATACAGACCTCACTCATCATGGTTTTATATAAGTTATCGATATCATTATTATAAGAAGTATGATCATCACTACACTATTTGCAAGCTTTAGCATTAATTAATGTGAAGAAATTTCTTTCTAGTTTTTTATTAATAACCGCGTATGTTACTAAAATATTTGGAACATTATTGAAATATAAGCACTAATTAAACTCGCAAATAAGTTAATTTTCACACGCAACTTCGAAAATTCTATTTTTATCTTTCCGTTACGAAAACGCGCTTGTGAGTCAGCTCTTCTCTTCTCCATTATCAAAGTTAAAATGTGTTTTTTAACGAAAGTGGGCTTTTTAATCTACATGATTTTTCTTTGTTGATAAATATTCATATTGTAAAAGAAAAAAAAATTATTGTTACCTATTTTTTAGTTTTTATTGTTTTTACTTTAATTTCTGTGCTAATTTGCCAAATGAAATACACACACCATATTCAAACAATAAAATTTAATCATTTTTTCACGTGTACTCAATAACATTAACGTTATTCAATTTAAAAGCACAATTATAAAAGTAAAGCAGAAAACTATAGTTATTATGAATTGTCATTTATATACGTATGAAGTTTATATTATAAGAAGACAAAATAAAAATTAACATGCATGTGAAAACGGGACAGATAAAAAAGTAATATGCTAGTATAAAAATATAAATATTAAAGAAAAATCTAAAAACTGTGATTATGTTTACATAAAAGTTTATTTAATAATAGTAAAATATCATTCTTATTTTCTTTAAAATTGAACTCAATAGTATAGTTGAATTTCTATGTTTACCGTTTTAGATTTGTGTACATAATATTTTAATGTAAATATTGTTATTTTAATTTTTTATGCTTGAAAAAAACACTTGAATAATTTGTAGAGAGTGAAAGTATTCAATTTATAAGCAACGATATAAAAATAATAATATATAGCAGATTTTATTATATAATATAAACTGTAATTTGATAAATAATCTATATTAAGTGCAATGTTCTTTAAAACTTTTGCATATTTAATTATATTAATTAATATAATTAAACCTGAATCGAAAAATTATAAGTGTATTAGAAAAGTAATTTGTAAAAACTTTATAATGTATTTATATACAACCAATAAACAACCATTTTTTAACTTATTATAAAAATGACTGTTGAATTTTGATGAATCACTCATTTTTTTATACATAAATTACATCTAATAATCTTTTCTTAGGTAAGAAGAAAAAATATTAAACAACCAAATCCAGTTCGATTGGACTTTTCACGAAACATAGATTTATCAAGCACACTTTTTCTATCTTGTACACTGAATCAGCACTCGAATGTGACAAAAATTTATGATACAAATAGAAATGTCATCATTTTCAAGTTAATTTTAAATTTCAATAGATCATTTTCTTAAGCTATACTCACTTATATATATCAACTCTATTTCAAGTATTTTAATTAAATAAAAGTCGTAAAAGTGATCTTTGAATTTTTGAAGTAAATATATTAACAAAAATGTTAAAAGAAAATTTAACGCATTTTTTTATATCAGAAAATTCAATTACTTCTGTTGAGAACTGATAACAATAACAAAATAAATTCCTCAAAACCACCCAAGATTTTCACATCGATGAACCAGATTCGAATTCTATCACATCTAATCAATAATAAATTTTTAATCTATGGACCCACTATAATTTCTAGATAATAAATAGCGCAAAATCATCAAAACTAACGATAAAAAATTGAATTTTAGATATTGTTTTGACCTGATAATGAATATATTTTCTAAAGTTTGAGTCAGTCTAAATTTGTATTCCTCAAAATCTTTGGCAATTTCTTTATTGAATTTCAACGTTTGGCCTACAGCATTATATTTGCAAACATATCTATTCTTAGATTATTGGGCTATTTAAATCTTCAAAAATTTGAAATATCATATAATTGTATACGATAAATTGTGTTTTAAAATTCATTAGTACATATGTATATTTAAAGTACAGAAAAATCAATCAAATAAATCAGTTTACTCTTTAGTAGTTATCGAATCCAACTTTAATAAATTACTTTCCATAACCGATGTGAAGAATCGAGTTTCACGGACATCTTTAATAATTTTTATGCTTCCAATTGTATCTACAGTCTTATTAACATTTTTTTCATTTTTGTCATACTCGTATATAATCTGTAAAATTAATTCGTTACGCAGAAGTAATATTTATATACAAATACTAGGGTGGTACGAAAAAAAAAAAAACATTTTTTTTAATCTCTTATAGAAATACATAATTTTATCATATTTCAGGAGCCCTCTTCAAAAATCAATTCGATTAAAAAGTTTTCAGAAGTCGCTTAAGATATAAAAATTTTTAAAAATCGTCAAAAATTGGAATTTTTCTTGTTATTTAACCATTTTTTACATAGAAAAGTATGCATAATGTGGAATTTTCAAAAAATCAAATATCACCATATATATATTTATCAATTTAAATACAATACTATACAGATAACTTGAGAACATGTTAAGTACACTACTTCGATAATCAAAAAATCTTGAACAACTTTTAAAAATTAAAATATTGACTTGAAGTTTTTAGAATATAGATATTTTTTCACTGAGAAAAAATAAAAATTTTTTAATCATAAAGCACTCATACAAAAAAATTAAATTTCCAACGATTCTGAAATTTTTTAAAAATCATGAGCGACACATAAAATTCAAGTATATGTCAAATTGAGCCGATTTTTAGATATAGCTCCTAATACATGATAAACTAACATATTTCTGTTGGATTGAAAAAAATAGTCCATTTTTTATGTCACCTCAACATATATGTTCAATAAATACTGTAACGAACCGTTTGTTTTTTCGAATTTTTTTCTGCATTACTTTTGCGATGATCAATTGCCTTGTTAAGCGCCTCTTGTTCTCTGGGTTTGAGTAAAATTAATTGAGGTTCCATTGCAATCCAACTACAGTAAACAATTTTTTCAATTCGCCAACGTTTTGAGATATCAGGCTCAATAAGATTCCCTACTAATTTTTTAACCTGGTCACTAAGTTTATCGATAACTTTTCGTTGAAATTTCCAACGACGATTTGTCTGCAGTGTGTACAATCGAGCCAAATTTGTTTCATCAAAAGGCATAGCTTTGTTCAAAATTGTGTACAAGATGACACCAAGTGACCAAATATCCGCAATTTTAGGATTATAAGGAATACCCTTAAGTATTTCCGGTGCTGCGTACAATAATGAACCACAAAAAGTATCACTCAATACATGTTTTCCACGAGTATCTGTCACAAAACGAGCGAATCCAAAATCTGCGAGTTTAACGTTGAAATTAATCGTCAATAAGACGTTTTCACATTTTATATCACGGTGTGCAATTTCCATTTCATGTAAATATTGTAAACCTATTATTATATTGTTTTCACAAGAAATTATAAAAAAATTTTATGTATACTTAATTATTAGATATTATTATGATTTTTCAATAAATAAATTCACCTAGTGTAAGTTGACGTAACCAAATCCGAGCTTGATTTTCTCCAACTGGACCATTTTTTGTAATATATTCCAAAAGATCACCGCTTTCAGCAAATTGCATAAAAATATAATATTTCAAACGTCTTTGAATAATACTATGGATTTGAACAACATGTGGATGATCAAGTTTCATTAAAATATCAAGTTCTCGTGGAAAAAATTTTCGTACAACATCTTGTGGTGCTTTAGATGTATTTACAATTTTACAGGCTAAACTTAGTTTTTTATCTGGATCACTTTCTGATTTATATTCAGAAAGAAATACCTAATTATAATTAAAATATCATTATTTATTAGATCTCGTACATAATATTTGTTAAAGGTACTATCCAAGAATATTTCAAGGCGGATATTTTGTTCAATGAAGAAAAGTTCTAATGTTATTTATACAAAATTTACATTTTAATGAAACGGAGTATTTTACAAAGATAATAGTAACCTTAGCAAAAGATCCTTCTCCTAGTTTCTTCAAAATTGTATATCCCCGTGTTTTTAGTATTACTTCCTCTGACGACGATTGATTTAACTCCTGCTGGGACATGTGCAGTTAAATTGTCATATTTTAGTTGATCCATTACCAGAATAAAAATTTTTTTTTCAATTAAAACACCATCATTACAATCAAAAGTGTAGGCTAAGTATTAAAGATTAACATATTAATAACGAAAAATTTTGGTTATAATAATAATAATAATAAATACATATATAAGAGTATAGACACAAAAACAATTGCAGTATTATTGAAGTGTTATGATATATTTTAGATTGAAAATAATTAAAAAAGAATTTATTGGAAAATATATTTTTATTAAAATATATTTTTTACATCAATTGAGAGAACTCAAATCTATAAAATAATAAATAACTATATTATAAATTTTATTGTTATTTATTATCATCAAAAAAATATAAATAAAAATAATTAAAATCTTAAAAAATTACAAAAATATAAGGATTTAACCATTGTTCATATACCATAAATAATTAAATAAAGTTATACTAATTTTTCACATATTATAATCTCTTTGCAGATAGTAATTAAACATCTTGATTACATACTGTTAAATTTTTTTCTGCTCAAAAATCTATTTAATAATAAATGAATTAGTAATAAATAAATCTATTTATTAGTAAAAAGTAATCCTGAGAGAAAGTTATCCAATCGCATTGAGAACAGTCATATTTCGATTAAATCAAATTCAATTTAATACTAAGATTATCATTCAAAGTCATAATTCATCATTATTGAAAAATGACATAGATTGCTTAGATGGTTATCAAATTAAATTTACCTATAGTCTGTTATTATAGTAATTGTATTTCAGTAATAGATTGTATTCGTTCAATATTTAAATTAAAAATATTGATATAATCGTGTCAAGTTTTAATTTTCATTTTTCATGAAATATTATCTATTTTGTATCAGAAGATAACTTTTATTACATACGAATTTTTTTATTTGGTGAATCACAGGTAATTTTTTGTACATCAGACGAAGTATTTCTTTTATGATCAATTTTTTGTTTCTGAACGAATTGTACGGCAATCAATAAAGCTTGTAAGGATGGATTATCTAAGTAACTAAATATCTCATCCACGCAAATATACGGTAAAGTTGAAAAAATGTTGAAGATAGAAATTCCAGGTCCGCTTTCGAATAGCTCATTTCTTTTTATGGCTCGCTCACAACGACATTTCAACATCACACAATATATTGGAAACTTATCTTGATAACCGAATGATTCTACAGCATTTTTTATTTTATAATTTTTTAAATAAATAGCGATAGTATGTAAATTTCTTGTTAAAAGATCATAATATGTAACATGATTAATGTCATCATGAACTTTATTTTTTTTCATTGTTTCTATTTCTTTCTTGCATTCCTCGGTAAAACCCCACACATCATCAACTAAACTTAAATATTCACGATCCACAGGGAAATTTGCAGTTTTCAATAGTATTATTTGTTTCTGCAAAATTTCTGCCACTAGACGACGGTCTTCATTCTGATGTTGATGCTCATAGTAATAATCCACGACAGCATCATAATCTTCAAAATAATTATCATCGTCCGTATCGTCATCGTCCTCTACATTCAATGCATAATTAATATTACAATGAATATCTGCACCATTATCTAAAAGTAACGTAATAATATCGCTATCAACATCTTCAACAGATAGAGAAAGAGGGGTTCGCCCATCTCCAGCTTTAACATTTATATCAGCGTGATTACGTATCAGTATCTTTATTATCCTCCTATCACTGTTATGTACTGCGTAAAAAAGAGGTGTCTTGCCTTGATGGTCTCTGCAATTTATATCAGCTCCATTATTTATTAATAATTTAACCACTTCATTCTGACGATGAAGACAGGCTATGTGTAGCATGCTGTACATTAAATCGTTATTTAAAACGGTATTGGGACAAACTCCCAATTTTAACAGTTTTTCGACAATTTTAACAAACCCTAATTCAACCGCTGTAAAAATTATTTGTTTATTTTGAATATGATGTTGTTCAATTGTTACTTCATATTTAAAAAGCATGGCTATCACTTTTTTATATTCAAATTTATTGTAAGAGTCAATGATGTCAAGTATGTCATTATTACTTTGACATTTTAGATTAGGGCAGTATTTTAAAATCCATTCTATAGATTTTAATTTTTTTGCATGAATGGCAATATTTAAAGGAGTTTTGCCATTCCGATCTAAAGTATCTACGTAGACTCCATTATCTAGCAGAATTTTTATTATTTCACCACAATCATTTAAAGCAGCGTAATGAATAGGCAACATCCAGGAATCACTATTAATATCAGCACCTCCAGATATGAGAATATTTACAATTTCTTTCTTATTATTCACAATGGCTTGATGCAATAGGGTGAATCCTGTTTCCCACTTGGGACTAACCGAGTGGACATCAGCGCCATGTTGAACAAGAAGTTCAACAGCTTCGATATTTCCTTTAGTAACAGCAATATGAAGCGGTGTCTCGCCATCCTCATTACGCGCTTGAACATCTGCACCTTCCTTTAATAAGATTTCTAGCGTAGCTTTATTACCATTTCTTGCTGCCAGATGTAAAACCGTACACGACTTTGGTTCGTTGTCATAGTCACAACTGGTATTGATAAGAGCTCCTTGATTAATTAAACTACTAACAGTTTTAAAATCTCCAAGGGCAGCAGCGATGCAGAGAGGAGAGATTTTATAATTATTTTCAATCTTAATATTAGTATGATCTAAAAGTAGATCGATGATTGGACGTCTTTCTTTTAAAATAGCTAGATGTAAAGCAGTGAATCCACTTTTCTCTAGAGCATTGATTTCGGCACTTCTCTTTAAAAGATGCTCTATCATCCTCTTTCCATGATTACTGTCATTCACAACAGCTAGGTGTAGTGGTGTGTATTCTTTTAAATCAGCAATAGTGCAAGATGTATTAATATCTGGACCCCGGTTGAGAAGATATTCAAAAATTTCAAAGTTACCAACATGAACAGCAAGACTTAGTGGCGTAACATTAAAATTATTTTTCGCATTTAAATCGGCTCCACCATTTAATAATATTCGTACAATATCGAAATTTTTTTTTTCTATTGCTAAATGAAGTGGCGTATCGCCGAGTTCATTTTTGGAACTAGCATCACCACCTTTACTTAGCAATGCAGAAATGAATATAGAATCATTGTTCAACACAGCTTTATGAAGCGGTGTTTCACATGGGTGTTTATTTAAATTGTTAATGTGAAAATCCCAGATAAGTACTTGGATGACATCAAAATTGCCAATACTAACTGCTTTCTGCATTAATTTGTACCACATTCCAGGCTTCAGCGAGTGTGGTGGATATACATCAAGAAGCTTTTTTAAGCCCGTCGAATTTTCCGCATCTATGAGGTACATCAAATGACTTGTTTGATAGTTGTAAAATGCCATGATCCGTTGATATTTTTATTCAATTAATTTCTAAAAAACACAAAATGTATTATTTATTATAACTGTCACTACACAAAATTTGCAATTTTTTATGGCACTAAATTCAATTATAAAAAAAAAATTAAAAAATAAATTACACTTATGAAATTAAAAAAAAAAAAAATTATCAATGTGATTGTTTTCAAATGACTTTTTATAACTAAATTATTTGCGAAATAAAATAAAAAAATAGTTAATTTTCTGCTGATTTCAGTACCATAATTTTTCAATCTTTTGACAAACCTTCAAGTCTATTTATTCTATGAGTTTAAATAATTTTTCGTGGAACATTTCACTCAAAACTATCATACTTAATAAAAATATATAAATAAATAAATTATATAAAAATCTTTTACAAATTGTAGGTTAGAGTTTTGCTTATCAACACAACTAGAGATTTTATTCTTTTATATTCTCTAGTTTATTACGTATTTTCTGTAGGTATATACTTTTGATTGACAGTAAATTTTTTTCATATTAGGAGCCGTCAAATTACTTTTTACTTGTGACAAAAGATTGTCGTCGACATGAAATGAGAAACAAAAACTAATAATCAAGTTTCACTAACAAATTTGATGTCAAGTAAGGTTAATGGCAAAAAAACATCTTGACGATAGAGCTAGGGTGCGTTTCAAAATACGCCACACGAGCACTCTGTACATTGTAGTGCGTAGTTATATTTTGGCGCGAATTTTAAGAGTCTGAATTTAGAAAATCGACTGAATAAATTTAATAAATTTCTTTTTAAATTTAAATTAATTAAATAAACTTTTTCCTTGATTTTCTTGGATTATACATCAGTTAACTTTTAATGATAAAACAAATATTTTTTATCGATATAAAAAATAATCTCCTTTAAAACCAACAAATAATAATAAAATATTTTAAAAGTTGATTTTAAGGTAGGCCGTAGTAAATGTATTTTCAGAAATTTTATTTTTCTAATTACGTCTTAAATAAATTTTGAAATCAAATAAAATGAAGTTTCCAAAAAAAAAAAAAAAAAAAAACATATAACTAGCTATTGCGAAAGCTTTATAATACGTATGTAGTTCATTTAACAATTTTTTCAAAAAGTACTTAGAAAAGTAAAATTTCAGAAAATACATTTACGACGGTCTAGCCTTAAAATATGTTATCTCAAGGATGTCATGAAATTGTCCAAAATATTTAAATTGGTTAGTTAATAAAGAGTAACAAAAATAGTGAACATTTTTTAGGTGACTTCTCGAGCGAGCATTGTTTCAGATCATTTAGTTCTACGCTATCTAAAAGTTAATAACTTCTATTTGGTCAATCGCTTACTATTTACATGATTCAGGAATACTATGCGTGACATTAATTTATCCCTGTTCGTGTTGCTTTTGTATTATTGGAAATGTGTATTTTTGGACATTTGAATAAATGGATATGGAAATTTTTAAAAATGGACATTTGATTTTTTGGAAATAATAATAAAAGTACTCAAGTAAAATTAGACATTAATATAAATGGACATTAATAAAAAAGGAAATAATTATAAATGTACAACTGCACTTATGGCCAACTTAAAAAAATGAAATCCCTATTTTTGAAAATATCTCCAAATGGAAATAAAAGTATTTGGTAAAGAGTTCAAATGAACAAATAGATTAATGGACATTTTCTTAGATAAACATTTATGAAAATGGATAATAATATAAAAAGACATCAGTAAAAATGGTTAAAAATACAAATGTACAATGGAATAAAAGGAATAGTCACTTAATGAACATATGATTTTATGAACAATTGAAAAAATGGACATTTAAATTTTAGGAAAAGTGAATAAATGGACATTTGTATAAATGCCCATCAATAAAAATGAATTTTGTAAAAATGAACATTTAAACAAATGAACTTCGATAAAAAAATACTTACTTAAATGGAAATCAGTAAAAATGGACATTTATAAAAATGTAAATTAGTAAAAATGGACATTCATAAAAATGGAAATTAGTAAAAATAGACATTCGTGAAATTGGACATTTTTAAAAATGGATAAATGATTTAAATTTAATTACAAATATAATTATGAAGTTGATAAATTATAAAATTAGGGTTTTTTGGTGTGCGTAAAGGAAAAAAGATGTCAGAAGAGCTGGGAACTCGGCTACCAAAAGGCATCTTCTTGTAATATTTGATGAACTAATTGATGTTTTATTGTTTTATCGTTTTCCGTAAAAACCTACGAAGAAGATGTCTTGGTAGCCGAGTTCCCAGCTCTTCTGACATTTTTTTTCCTTTACGCACACCAAAAACCCTAATTTTATAATTTATCAACTTCATAATTATTTGTAATTAAATTTAAATCATTTATTCATTTTTAGAAATGTCCAATTTCACGAATGTCTATTTTTACTAATTTCCATTTTTATGAATGTCCATTTTTACTGATTTCCATTTAAGTACGTATTTTTTTATCGAAGTTCATTTGTTTAAATGTTCATTTTTACAAAGTTCATTTTTATTGATGGGCATTTATACAAATGTCCATTTATTCACTTTTCCTAAAATTTAAATGTCCATTTTTTCAATTGTTCATAAAATCATATGTTCATTAAGTGACTATTCCTTTTATTCCATTGTACATTTGTATTTTTAACCATTTTTACTGATGTCTTTTTATATTATTATCCATTTTCATAAATGTTTATCTAAGAAAATGTCCATTAATCTATTTGTTCATTTGAACTCTTTACCAAATACTTTTATTTCCATTTGGAGATATTTTCAAAAATAGGGATTTCATTTTTTTAAGTTGGCCATAAGTGCAGTTGTACATTTATAATTATTTCCTTTTTTATTAATGTCCATTTATATTAATGTCTAATTTTCTTGAGTACTTTTATTATTATTTCCAAAAAATCAAATGTCCATTTTTAAAAATTTCCATATCCATTTATTCAAATGTCCAAAAATACACATTTCCAATAATACAAAAGCAACACGAACAGGGATAAATTAATGTCACGCATAGTACCTAAATATTTTTAAGGTAATAATTGTGATCTTGTACATAGACTTTTCTTTACTCTCATTTATTCGATGTGAATTAAATTATTTTGTTTTTAAATTTTACCGCTGACGTAAATAAATGTTTCTCATTATTAATGTAATAGTTCTTGAAATAAACTATAGAGAACGTGTCGATCAATATTGGATGTCTATTTTCTTTTCATGCGAATTTTCAAAGTAATAATTTACGCAAGTGTTTTCATTAACGTAGTATGAAGAAAATTTACGTACTTTTAGAACTTAGCCATAGCTGTGAAAAATCACATGACCAAAAATAATATATATGTATACTCGGTATTATCACCCAATATTTTTACTACACATAATCGAACTGGTACATACGATTAGTCTTGCGGTGTCGTGGTCGGCTTTTTAATGCTTGGAAAAAATTTCTCAAGATAACTGCAGATTTTTTATTAAAGTTGAAAAAATTAAAAATGGGTTCTACTGACACAAATAATGTTAAAAAACAGTTGAATCACAACAACAACAATGAAATGATTCGTGAATATGGCCCAAATTTAAAAATACTACCTACGAATGATCAAGTTAAAGAATTACAAACAATTCTACGTGATAAGTTAGTATTAATTTATGAGTTATAAAACACGTGGTTATCACTTAGAACCTAAATTATTATTATTAATTGTTAATAACTCATAAATTCGGATATCTAGTTCTAATAATTTATTTTTTTGTTGCAGAAACACTTCACGAAGTGACTTTAAATTTTATGCTGATCGTTTAGTAAGTTAATTTTCAACTGAAATAAAAAAATTACATGAATAATTCATTTTATAGATGTAAATTGAATCGAAAAAATTTTTATTTTAATTATAGATTAGACTTGTTATCGAAGAAAGCTTAAACCAACTACCATTTACAAAAATTGTGATAACTACACCTACTGGAGCTAGTTACAATGGCTTGAAATATCAAAAAGGAAACTGCGGTGTGTCGATAGTCAGAAGTGGTGAAGCTATGGAGCAAGTAATTTAACAAATAAATAATTTCTTTAATTATATATTAACAATTCGAATTATGATTATGATATTTTCAAAATGTAGGGTTTAAGGGATTGCTGTCGGAGCATAAGAATTGGAAAAATATTAGTTGAAAGTGATATGGATACACACGAAGCCAAGGTAGTTTATGCTAAATTTCCAGATGATATAGCTGATCGTAAAGTGTTACTGATGTATCCAATCATGAGTAAGTAAACAATATTTAAAATATTATTATTGTTAGTGATAAGTTATTATCACTGATGACAATAATACTACCATAAGGACATTTTTTAATTCTGACTCTAAATTTAATAAATACTTATTCATGTCATAGGCACTGGAAATACTGTGATAAAAGCTATAGCTGTTTTAAAAGAGCATAATGTATTAGAAGAAAATATTATTCTTTCGAATTTATTTTGCACACCACCCGCTGCTAAAACTCTAGTCAGTGTTTTTCCTAAGGTAAATTGAAGCTTTGTTTTAGATTTTTTTTTTTTTTCAACTGCAATAATTGAAATTATATTTTAGATGAAGATTTTAACATCAGAAATTCACAACGTTGCACCAAACCATTTTGGACAGAAATATTTTGGTACGGATTAAATTGAAACTTTTAATTTTCATTGTTATGCATATATATTTTTTGCTGAGAATTTCTAATCATTGAACTAAGTTGGTCATCGATTTTTAGTTAAACGAAAATTAATCTTGTTCACTTTTAACGCACATTTTTATTGTACATTCAACCATCTGTTTCTAATTTTCTGTATTATAAGCTACAATTATTTATGATTTCAAATAGTTGTATTATTTAGAAAAGGTCACTACTGAGCTGCCGTAGCGAAAGGAAATATATTGTGTGCATGTCAAATCCCATCCGAAACTTAATATTATTTAGAAACATTATGCAAGATATTAAAATTTGTGCATAAGAAAAATTCAGATGAATCTGTAGGAAAATGTAAAAATAAAAAAAAATTTGCATTATGCGCAAATTATATTTTACGTGATGCAATGAAATAAATTCATGAAAGAAAATGATGTAATTATATATTATTAAAGTAATTAATTTGATTAATAACGACTTGATTAAGCGTTAAGTACAATTTTCTAAGAAATAGGACAATATAGGAGTTAAGGTAAAAGCCCCAGTAGCTGCTCATGTACCAATACATGCTCACTTCATGTATTTGTATATCTATATATTTGTGAATAGCTACTGGGGCTCTTACCTTATTGGTCTTTAACATGTTACAACAAAGTCATGGTGGTAATAATCTATAATTGTCTATTCAATGAATATAACTCTTGCAGTTAGAATAAAATTTTTCTTGAAGTACTGATTTTGAACGAATAATTTTTTAAGGCTGATTATATTATGAAGTATAGTTTAAAAAATTAATATGTACATATTTCATATATTCTGTTATAATTATGGATAAATCATCACAAAAACTTTTTCCATGTATATGTTAAAAAAAAATAAGTAAATTATTTATAGCTTGTAATGAATTTTAGATTTTCCTGCATGATCTAAAATTATTTAATGCGCTTTTTTCACAAATGAGGTATATATGTATTTTAAGAATATTTGTCAATTTAATTTTTATAGTTATTTTTTTTCTTGAAAAAAAATTAATGAACTATTTTATAAAAATCTTTTGCATAATATCGAATTAAAATTAATCTCTAATTATGAAAAAAAAATGTCACATTTTCGTTTTATTACCTTTTTTTATTGATAAGAATGATGGAATGCATTTTTCTATTATATGTAATTATACGTGTATATATGGATAAGACACAAAAATTTTTTGCAATACAAAAAAAATAAGTATTTATAAATATTTATAAAATTAATAGTAACTTGGTATAAGAATATAAATCTAATACAATTCCTGTCAGAATTTTTATCATAATAAATAACGGAAGTAAGAACTGAAGAAATAATTACAAATGTATACTTGAGTGTAACACATTGAAAAATGGAAAGTTTTTTTGTAATTCACTTGTTAGCAATATTATGGAGTCAAATATTAATAAAACCGTAAAATTACTATTTAATAAGTAAGCTGTCAGTTGAATTTATCGATCAACCAAATAATAAAAACTGTTGAAAGTGCTTATCATCTATGATACAAAATCGAAAATGAAAATAAAATATTTTTCATTGTTGTAACAGTTTTTTGCAAATTATTCTATTTTATTATAATAAATCATTTTATTGACTATTAATGATGATGAATAATAAAACATTGACTGATATATAAATTAAAATTTTTTCAATAAGAGATGAGCTTATGAGTTTTTAAACAGTTTATTTATAAATTTATCTATTGATTCAACAACGTTTCGTTAATTATATGTAGCATTGTAAATCAAAGAACAAATATTATTCTTTTATTGCATTTAATCTTATCAAGATTATATTAAATAGCAATCTATTTTAAATTTATTTTGTTCTGTTACATTACTCGAAAATTGATCAACTTAAAATTTCCTATGCTTTCATTGAAAATGGTTAAATTTTGATAAATCAGAATTTTTAGTAATATTATTTGATATATCCTTACTTATGAAAGTAATATTTATTTTAGAATCATATTCTTGCTTATCAATTCAAATATTTCTTCAATACTTAGTAAATGAAAGTTTCTAAATTTAAAAAATAGATTACTTATGATAACGATATGAAAGTAAAACTTTCGTTTCAATTTAAAAAATGACCATTCAGCGACTGGAATAAAAATAGACTTCGTATGTCGTATTATACTTTATATTTAGTTAAATTATAGTAATGGATAAAACTTTCATTAATTCGTGAATGAAGGTAAGGAGTTTTTTCATTAAATCTAATACTATAAAAATAGCATTTTTTGTTCTTGAAAAAAAATATCATACTCAGAAGATTTCACAGTCAATAAAGAAAATCTATTTTATTTTTCTACAACACTGTTATTTCAAGATCTAAAAATTAGAAACTTGAACTAATTTTATTTTTAAAAAATTATTTCTAATTGTTTTTTGACAATTAGATGTTATATCCATCAAACAAAAGGATATTGTTTAAAATTAAAACTCGTTGATATATTTATTTATATGTTTGGGGGTTTTATATCGCGTTGGCCATTTTTTTAAACAACCTCTTCTAATTTTGCTCATAATTTACATGCTTTCTAGACATGAAAATCACAATCAATGTGTTTTTTATCGCTCTTAAAAACATGGAAATTGTAGCTAACTTGTACGACGTCACTAACAAAAGTGGTAGTTTTTGCCTTGAATAAAAAAAAGTATTGAGACAAAGAAAAAATTATTGAAAAGTATTGGATTGACTAGAAAACCAATACTTTTCAATACTTTTTTCTTTGTCTGAATACTTTTTTTTATCAGGGTGTGTAGAACATTCGTGTATTAGCCGAATGCACAAAAATTATAATACTATTTAATCAATTATCCATGCAAATGTTTTTTTACATGTAAAAAGTGTATAGATGACCTACTTTTATTTCTAAAATGTAGAAATGTGCACCCAGTTTATGCACAAAATTATAAAACATCAGTATATTTTTGGAAACTATCCCATTAAGACACAAAATATAAAAAAATATGAAACTCGCGGCATGAGGTGAAATACAAGAATTCAATTCCTATGAAACCTACTAAAAAATACTTGAGACGAATTCAAATAAACTGTTGTCTTTTCTTCATATTTCAAGAAACAAAAAATTTTAATTTATTCAGTTTTAATAACAACAAAAATTACTCACATTTTTAAGTTTGGAAATTTATAATTGTATTCATAATAATATAAAAATAAATTTAATAAACTGAACTTATTTGATACCCAAATAACAATATCTATTAATACATGAATAACTTATTAAGAAGATGTACATTCATTACTAAGCAATCTTTAAATATTATTTACTTTGTTTTCTCTATTAAAATTTCAGCCTATCTCTAATTAATTATTAATTGATATTAATATCTTTTAAAACTGTGATATATTATTAAATTAAAAAAAAAAAAAAAAAAAGACATTTCAAACGAATTTTCTTTGATTTAATAATTAAATCTAATCAACAATCAGTTCAAGAAATAAAATTAACTTTTCCCATCCCAAATATGTAATATTAAAAAAAATTGGCATAAATATTTGATCATAAAATTATTCAAAGTAATAAATTTCTAGAGAATTTTTTTTTAATATTAACTTGATTCATTGAAAAAATTTTTAATCGATAATTGGCAGTACGGTATTTTTACACCTCATCTTGGACAACAATAAAGATGATTAAGCAAAATAATATTTACCGACGAGGTCATTAGTCCTAAATAATAATAACACTTAATTAAAGGATATCAACTATATGATTCATTATTTATTCTTCTTGTTCGTCATCATCTGACTTTTCACTCTTCTTTTCAGATATGTCTGTGTGATCCATATCTTCTGATAGTGATTTATTTAAGCCTTCAATATCGGATGATTTCATTTTTTCAGAATCTTTATCATCAGTAATTGAGTTTTCTCTTTCATTTACGTTACTGAAAAAATTGATTCAAAATGGTTAGGAATTTTATTAACTATCAATAAAAGATAATGTAAATTTAATCTCTACATATTATGTCAAATATGAAATTACCTCTCTGAATGTACAATGTTATCATTTTCCATAGAAGCCTAAAAATTTAATTTAATTTTGTGATTTAACTGATAAAAAATTATTTTAAACCGTGTAAATTAATTGATTAATTTTTTATGCAAAAAAAAAATATAAAAAAAATAGGATTGACGTACTAACCTCTCGACTAGATGATTTTCTATTGTTGGTTACATTATTACTTGTAGAATTGTTTTCTTCGATTTCATCATCGAGAGAACTAAGTTTAAGAAATTTTTCTAATTCGTCAATTTCATTTGCTAAATCAAAATCTTCATAGTCCTAGAAAATAATAATTAGTTGTCATTTTCATCTCAGTAACAATATATTAATTTTCATTTAAATAACGCCTACTGAGTTTTTGATTTTCGTAGAATATTCATTATTTTCAACAAAAACTATGAGATTATTTGACTGTTTTAGCTTAACAGCTATTGTTTTCAGCTCGATTTTCGCAAATTAACTTTTTCTCAGATGTCAATGTTTTATAAGGTCTGAGAAAGTCATTTCAAGTATTATCAAAATTATATTTTTAAGCTTTTAAATGTACGCGTATGAACAGAGTACCCGCTTGAGTCCTGATATTCGCGATACAGTGAATTAAACATATTTCTATGTAAAGTCACAAGAGTAACGTGATAATTATGATATTATTTATAGTGATAAAAGCGATATTTTTCTCTTCGTACAGGATTAACTCTTCAAGTCAGTCTCAAAAACTTCATCTGGTTTTCAACAGTATGTTCAAGCTCTCCGATATGGAACCTTTCCTCAACCAAACCGTTCCTCAACTTCTATACTTCTGACCATATTTGGGAAGAAACTAGTGAATCTAATGATTGTAGAAAAATAAATTTGTGAAGGAAAACAGTGATAGGTTAGTAATTGATGCTTTGGAAAGCCTGTTTTAGGGACACATGCACGTGGGACGGATGAGTTAGCAAAGAGAATTCAAGGTCAGAAAACAGAATAGCTTGGTCTCTTCCAGCATTGAACGGTACAGAGATACCCACTTAAGGTAGTTGTAGCGTGAAAGGCATTTCAACAGAAAGTTATGAAATTTTTTTTATCGAAAGATAAATATATTAATAATTCACTACCAAAATTTCAGATCAATTGACCGCACCGTTTTTGAGTAATTAATTTTCGAAATCGCATCTTTTACACGTAGAGGTATAGAGAGATGGTAAAGTTAGTATGAAATCTTCCGTACCACTCGATAAGGGCCAAAGGTTTCATACTAACTTTACCATCTCTCTATACCTCTACGTGTAAAAGATGCGATTTCGAAAATTAATTACTCAAAAACGGTGCGGTCAATTGATCTGAAATTTTGGTAGTGAATTATTAATATATTTATCTTTCGATAAAAAAAAAATTTCATAACTTTCTGTTGAAATGCCTTTCACGCTACAACTACCTTAAGTGGGTAGTAATTACTACCATGTGAGTCATCTGTACCGGCATCGGAAAGTATATACACATTTACTAAAATACTTGCTTGAGCTTTGGAGTATTTATACTGGAATAATTAAAAATAAATGGTTAAAAAGGAAGCTTATAAATTTTTGAATGCTATTCAAACAAAATTTTTTTACAGAGTATATAGATTTGCTTTTTTGTTGCTAATAAGTTGCCCTAATTGGAATTTTGATGATTGGTCAGTTTGAAAGGTACCATGACAATGCTGGAATAAGATAATACTGAATTTTCAGATGAGCTTGATAATCTCATAATTTTTCAGGAAAGTATACATTTAAACAGTTCAAGCTCGAAAACAGCAAAAAAATTTTAGAGATGGCCTAGTAAGTCAATAGTTTTTTCTATTAGAAACTCTGTTCCAGTTAAGTAAAAAAAAATTTGGAACAATCCAGAAATAATTTTAGTGAGGTAGAAAAGTATTAAAGAATTTTTGCTCAATCGAAAAAAAATCGAATTCAAGAGTGGTTGGCTAAGCATGTAATGCCCCATGTATAAATTACACATTTATTACATTTATATTCAAATCAGTTGTTTTGATGTACTTGTATATAAGATAAAAGACCCAGCTATTGACATTTGCAATTTTATTCTAATTAAAAAAAATAAAATGCTCTTAAAAAACCAATTATCTGAAAATTTATAATTCAAAAATTATATTTATTAATTTATTAAAGTTAATTTTTTTTTTCAACTAAAATAAAATTGCAAGTGTCAAACAATTAGGCCAGTATCAATAAATGGGTCTTTTACCTTAGGATTAAAAGAAAAATAACAAATTAATTACCCCACAGTAATCTTCTTCATTGAATATTTGGGGAGGTAAAGGATATTTACTGTCTTTTGGATTGGCATTAGTCTGCATGTATTCTTTACTATCTTCTTTACCAGGTTCTGTGATGTCGATTATTTCATATTGCACATTTTTACTATCTAAAATCATAAGTACTCGTTGTTGTCTTTTTTTAACCTGAAAAATAATATATAAATATATATTAAGAATATAGCTTTGAATCACTGTCAAGAAATATTAGTCATTCATTAATGCAAATAAAAATAAAAATAATAATCAATTCAAAATAATTAATGTCATATATATAAGCTGATCAAGTTAATTACTGGTACTAGTAAGTTATCCTTTAAAAGGTAAATTTGAAAAATTAAACGATTTAAAAAATGGCATTTACTACTGTTTTAAAGCCATGTTTGGATGGAATAATATAATAATAATGATTAAAGGTTATAAAAAATTAATTTAATTTGAAAATGGGCTATTAGAATGTAATTTGATACATTTGATGGCGGGTACAAATCGAGAAACGTCATGAAAGTTAACATTTACCCGAAATGTGTACTACAACCCAAAGCAAAGTATCTTTGATTATTAATTGAATTTTTGACTTACTTCTTTATTACCACTAATTCCTGATATATACACTTTTACAGACATTTTTTTTGATATTCAATCTATCGTTATACCTGTCAACCGGCAATAAAAAAAATAATAAATATCTATATTAATTTTTCAGCTTTCACATTCATATACATAAAAATATACGTAAATTTTCTACAGCTAATGATGATGATCGACAAGAAAGACTGGAATCGAACACTTTTTCACTGCGCACTCTCCATCCAACGTTCGCATTCGAAAAGTTTCATGTGAGTTCATTCGTAAGTATAAAGCAAATTTCGAATGTATAACAAAATTGTATCGGTGAAAACAGTACTTAATATTTTCCATACATGAAATATTTCATGTTTGTTTTGATATGATTTTTAAATGCTTTCCTTCAAAAAAATAATATTTTTTCTTGATTATCAACAAGATAGTTTTTTATATTTGTGAAATAATATCTTACATAAAAATTAAGTATTTAATAAGGAATTGAATGCTCTTATTTATATTCACCAATTCCGTTAACTAATATAGTGACTTTGACTTTAAAATTTGAAAAATTTGTAATATAAGAAAAATATAATACACTCTTTTACAAGTAAATCAATAATTAATTTATATCGAGAATCAAGAAGTTATAATGATAAACAAATAAAGATGCACAATAATTTGAACTTACGTTCGAACATACTTAATACTACTGACATAACCTTGAATATTTTTTTATTATTGTCCAATTTCATTGAAAGAATCATCTAATAATAGTGTTAAGCAAGGTCAAGTTATAAATATGGAACCAAAAAGTTGAGTTGATGAATGTCAATTAAATTCTGATACAATAAAATTAAAAAGACATGACCATCAACAGCAACAGTCCTATATACCAAAAAATTTTATTGTCGATAAAGTTAAAGAACGGCGTTATAAAAAATGTATCCTTGTTGAAAAAAGAAGTTGTGGATGAAGTACTCATCATATTATTAAAAGAAGAAGGATATTGTGATCTCCCAAATACAGCACAAGATATATTAAGTTTAGAGTCTTCGGATGTTTTTTTTATTAAATCTCTCAGAACAATTTGGTCACTCAGAATCATCTTTGATAAATTCTAAAGATGCATCTTAAGATTTTGAGATACTTCCCTTAATGACTTCTCTCGGGCCATAATTTTTTTTTTTTTGCTTCAACTTTAGTGCCTCATCATGTGGCTAAAGGCAATATTGCTTTTAACATATTTGTCTTTCTCTATTTTCATGAGAATATAAGATTTTTCATAGAGCTCTCACTCATGTTCACTGTTGTTTCTTATGTATGAATAGTATAAAACTCAGGAGCACTGCATTTTGATGAAATTATCCCTCAGAGTACACTGGGGATCATTTTGACCCCAGAATTTTTTTTTATCCTAAAATATTTCTCGAAAATAGGTTCGTTTTTAATTAATTTTTTGAACATTAAAAACTATTTAATTCAGAATAATAATAATAATAATTGTATTCAAAAGAGCATTGTTTTACCTACCTAAGATGTAATAGCCTGAATTCCGATAGAATGCATAGTTTCTGAGATATAATTCTTCGAAAGTCAAGTGGGGTCAAGAGGGTCAATTTGACGCCGTGTGTACTCTAAAGTTCTGTCCGGAGGTGTGTACTCCGAGGGTTATATATAAATATAAATAAAGTGATGATCAAAGGAGAAGGGGTTGGCCAATTGGTCGATCCGATTTGGGCCCAATTTTCAACAATTTGGCCATGTTTGGGCCTGTGTTGGTCAAATTTAGACCTTTTTCGTCCATTTACAAACAAAAGAATTGAAATTATTGAAAAGAATTCAAATTTTATCATTTTTAATTATTTTCAATCAATATTTTTAAACAAGGACCAAATTTGAGTCTATTTTTGACGATATTTGGAGCTAGTATTGACCATACTTTGGGCTTATTTTTGACTAAATTTCGGATCTATTATTTTGGGCCTATTTTTTATCGCAGTTCGGGCATATTCAGGGCTTGTTTTTGACCATCTCTCTGACCATTTTTTCGACAATACTTTGAATCTGTTCTTAACCATATTTTGGGCATACTTTTGACCATATTTAGAATATTTGGAGTCTATTTTTGAAAATAGGCCCTAAGTGAACAATTGATTAAAAATAAAAATCTTATAAGAAATGTTCATTGATTGCTTAACTTAAAAATGACACTAAAGTTAGCCGACGTTTTTAATGCTATGATTTTTTTTTATTTATTAAACTAGAACTAAAAAATACTGAATAAAAATTGTACTTACAGTTTTTCAAGTTTTTTACAAATAAACATTTTTTTTTTTTAATAAAAAAAAATTCTAAAAATTTTTGGATGTCGCCTGACTTAATTTTCATAACTTAAAAATGAGAAAAAGAGTTTTGTAATTTTGTTTTTGAATAGCTAACTAAATAATGTGTGAAATTATCGTTTTTAACGGAGCAATTTGGATAATTTATTTATGAATTTATGCGGTTACAGTTCCATGCCAATTTTTCGTGATGAAGAACCATAGCCAGAATATTAATATTTTTGAATAATGCACATTTACCCGCCAGCTATTGCATTTATGCGGCAGTATTCGAATAAATTAATTATCAAAATTACCAGAATATTCTTAGTCGTTAATAGGTGGCAGCACTTTATATCCATTGACCTGTGTGTGAAAATCCTCAAGTTTTTCTTTTCACTTTTCTACAGTATCAATTCAAACTCTCACATTGGTTGTATTTTTTGTGGCGAAATGTGCCCGTTTATTTGTTAAAGTCTTTAGATTGTGACATTTGATTGATTATCTATTTTTGGTATTTGTTTAGTTTTTACGTTTATCTTTCTCATCTTTTACGATATTGAATTATTAAACAAACTTTGAAAATGGGAGGTGGAGATCTGGTAAGTATATTTATGATACTGAAATTGAGAGACATCTGATAATTTTTAGAATTTTTTAATAAAGAAATTATACACTAAAAAAAAATCATTTCAAAATGTTCATCTTTAGAAGCTCTGAAAAATTATAAATGCAATTTTTTAAAAATAATTTTCTAGACCTAGTATATTTTTCAAGAAATACAAAAAAAATTTTTATATTTTGTACTTTTGTACAAAGTTGAAAAAATATTAAAGTCAATTGCATTCGTATTGACACATTTTAAACGTATTACTTTATAAAGATAAAAAAAAATTAAAAAATATTGTCAAGTGTGCTAATTTCAGTGTCATGTATATTTATTCACGATAATAGTGTTAAAATTTTTTATTTCAATTGTGGTATGAAAGTATTAAAATAACAATCTTGTAACATTGAAATTGAATTTTAGAATTTAAAAAAATCATGGCATCCCTCAACAATGAAAAATATGGAAAAAGTTTGGAAAGCCCAACAACAAGACAATCAAGAGAAAAAAAAAATTGCCGAATTAAAAAGAGATATAGAATTAGAACGTGACAAAGAAGACTTGACAAAATATGCAATGGAACAAGGAACTATTGAAAAAAAAAATGATAAGAAACTTGATTGGATGTATAAAGGACCCCAGCAATCTATTAATCGTGAGGATTATTTAACCGGAAAAAAAATTGATAAAACTTTTGAACAATTTGCTCTAGCGGAAAAAAATTTAGAGCGTAATAAATTACCAAGCAATCATGTAGAATATGGTATGTTTTTAAAAATCATAATATCGCGGTAATTTTAATTTTTTGCTTAGTAAATAAATTTAACTTTTTTTTTTTTCTCAAGACTGTGCACCACCATCACTAAGATTTTTATCGGGAAATGAGCAAGTTGATCTCGCAAAAAAGTTACAGGAGGATCCATTGTTTGCTATTAAAAAAAAAGAAATGGAATCAAGAAGCAAACTTTTACAAAATCCAGTAAAACTAAAAAAATTACAAGAACTTGTGGTATGCATTATTCCATTAAATTATTTAAAATTTCAAATCTTATCAAATAAAAAATAATTAAAATTACAGAATAGCAACAAGTCAAGTTCATCGTTGTCCCATCGTAAATCATCAAAGAGTAATAAAGATTCGGATAGATCAGTCAGAGATAAAGATAGACGTCAATCTCAGAAAAAAGTAATACTTTCAGATAAAGAAAAATTAAAACGATTAAAAGAAATGATGGCTAATGCCTCTTGGCGTGACAAAGAACGTAAAAAGAATATTAAACGTTACAAAGAACAAGATAAATCAGAGCCTTCTGAAAAAAGTTATAACAATGATTTTATAAGGTAACTATTAAGAGGTATATTATTGCCGTATACGACGATTTCAGAAGAGAACAAGTATTGACTGTCTGAGTGAAACGAAGACAATCTGAAATCGTATTTAATACTGTGCCATAAATTACATTTTTTCATATCACTCGTCTTATTAAAACTTTAAGTTAAAATTATGGAGTCTGTCAGAGAATTTAAAACTATTAGAGTATTTTTTATCCGTAAATTTCATGCGTCGTTCAGAGGTTTCCAATGTAGAAAAAAAAATTTTCACAAACCTGCAATCATTCTATCTTTATTTTGCGGACAGACGTTGAAACTTTAAGTTTTCTTGCTAGTGATATGAAAAATAATTATTTATTTTCGATCACAAAAAAAAACTAATTCTAACGTTGACATTTTTTAGTAGTTTTTCCATTTTGTCTTTTTCCCAATCAAACCTGATTGTTTACTTTTTTTTAATTTATTAATTTTTTTTTTTTTTAATTCAGAAATCAACTAGCTAAAGCGGCAGAAGGAGGAACAGTCGCTTCAAGAATAAGGTCAAATATAAATAATATCCAACGATCTAATCGTACTATGGATACAAATTTTGCTAAACGATAGTATTCTCATGTATTTAAAAGATGAACATCACCACCTTTTTAAAGAAAAATTATGCTTTATTCACGTAAAATATTTATTACCTAAATAAGATGTATATGAATATGGGTGTGCCAACATTCAATTTTCGCGACGAACCTTCTAAAATTGGAATTTTGAGTTTCGTTTTCAACAGGAGCTGTATGTTTCGGTACTTCCGGCCAAATTTTGAAATTTCAGCGAAAATGCCCAAACAAAGCTCCTGTTAAAAAATTCTATGAAAAATAAATCCCCTACCCCCAAAATATCTTAGTAAATGTCCAAACACAACTCCTGTTAAAGCGAAACTCAAAATTCCAATTTTAAAAGGTTTCTCAAAATTTAATGTTGACACACCCTAATTAATATATTATAATTCCCTGTCATTTTTGGGAAGAAAAAAATAAATTTGTACATTAATACTGCATCCAAATGGGATAAGCCGTTCGGAAATCGAAATGATTGGTTGAAACCTTTTAAATAAAAATTAGATATGAATATTTTAAATATTTAGATGTAATGATTTTTATGACGTTTATGGAAAAAATTGGTAAAATTTTCAACTTGAGAGAAAATTTTTAAAAAAATCACGAAGTTACCATATTAATTAAGTTGACGTATGTAAAGCTGGCATTGACTTACCCAGCATTGACCATCAGTATCTCTGTCATTATTCAAGCAAAATAATTTATTTGTGATGATAAATTTGTTGCTAATTAGTTGCTCTAATTAGAATTTTGTTACTTGATTAGATTCTGAGAAATCATTAATAATGTTGGTCAATGCTAACTTTACAGACGTATTAAGGTGGATATTCAAACGATAAGATTTTTAAAATTTATGATTCCCTTAACTAAAAAAAAAAAAAAAAAAAAAAAAAAATAGGCTACAAATCAGTAACAAACTGGTTATAAAGTACATATTAAAACCTTAAAAACATGTTGCCCCTTAAAGTATTAGTGTTCTTTCTAAGTCTGTTTTTTTCACCAAGAAATGCTACGAAAAAAAAAATCTCTTAATTTATTAATATAGATCTCTATATGGCACAAAATTTAATTTTATTCAAACAACACACATACTATATAAAACACAATATAATTATTTCGTTGATAAACATTATGTAACGTTGCACATTTCTTGAGGTTCATCCACAAGACCTGGTGAATCAATATTTGTTGTAGTCATACAACCTCCTGTTAAAAGATTATTCACGACTGATCTAGCAAGATATCCAGTAGTGACTGAATAATGAGCAGCAAAAAATGAAACCATATCGGTTGTTTCTAATTCATTATCTTTACAGTACATAACAAATCCATCTTCAATTAATTTATTTAAATCTACTTGTTGACTAAAACTCAACTCCGGATTCCGTAATAAAATAGTTGATACAATATTCAACAGCTAAAATAATTTTAATAATTAATAAATAATTAACAATGGTTTAAAATAATTTTTAAAATTCTATACCTCAACCACTATTTGACGATACTCAGGCAGCTGTATGTGGTGAAGAATTGACTCTACGAGCAAAGCGAATGTCAATTCTGAACGTGTCATAGTAGATAAGGTTGGTTGCTGCGGTAGTTCTTGTCCATTAACTCGAATACCACCAGGACATCTTGTCAAAACTTCCCATACTTGATTATAAAAATGTACGGGAACTCTACATAAACTTCCTTCAATTTTCCTTCGCATAATTACAGATAAACTGTTGGAGAAAAAAACAAAAAATTTTTTAACTCATTTCACGATGCATGTCAGTAAAAAATTTCAAATAATAATAAAAAATTATTTATACTTTTCAGTAGTAGCCCAATCTTTGACAGTCAATACTTTTATTAAAATTTGTCGAATTTCATATGGGCTATAATTTTCTATAACTTTAGAATTTTTGTTAGTTACTTCAAGATAAAGTCTCATAGCTTCTAAAACCCACCTAAACATATTTTTACAAACCTAATTATAATTATCAATACTTATGATAGAAAAGTTGATTCTTATCATTTAAATTAAGTTAGGTAAAAAAAAAGTACCCTATACGAATTTTAAGAATTCCTTTAAACATAGCAGGATTTGTGCCAATTAACCGTCCACAATATAACAATACTTCTTGTTGAAGAACAGCCTGTACAATATTGTATGGTTGAATTGTTGAATACATTACCGATTGTATTTCACCAGGTGTCATGGGTTTATCAAAAACAGTTTCTTTTTGACCAATAACACCGACAGTAATCTGTTTATAGATTATTTTTGCAAAATTAATATGAATTATATGATTATAAATATATTATTAATCGATCTATTAATAACAATTCAATGAATCATTCATTTTAAATCACCTGCTTTCCTTTTACAAGGACTCCAGTTATAAACGGACTGATACTGTCAACAGTATGATTCAATAAGCTACTGCAATAACGCACTGCCATCCAATATCTCAAACTACCAGCTTGTTGATACAATGCTTTTAGATGATCTTCGACTGCATCATAATTATTGATTTTTTATTTTTGGCTGATTTGAACAATCAATATTATTTTTTATTACCTGATATTCCGTTGATTTTATAATCACTACCCTCTCTCTTTAATATAATTCCATAGAGTTGGCATTTCGCAAAGAGACCATCAACATTTCGTATTTCATCGAGGATGGTATAAGTCGGCTCTTTGGATAACGTCTGAAATCATAAATATTTTCTTTAATATTTTCTACATCAGTAAATTTATTTTACAATTTTATTAACTTACAGTATAATCTCGCGTTTCTGCAGAATGTGACAATGTTCTTGGTACATCCGTGAGACTTTGATAGCCAATATATTCATGTTTTAGTTGTTTGAACTGAGTAAGTTCAATATCAGTTTCCATTGAATTTACAAAATCTAGATGCTCTAATAATAATAATAATTAATATAAATTTTAACTAATCAAACATTTTATTAAATAAAAATAAAAAAAAATACCTATGCATGATGACGAGATAAGATTTTGCAATCGACCAATTCGTACTTTAGTACTATCACAAAATCCTTTTTTAAGCATTGCAAAAAGATCAAGCATCTCTTTGAAATGGGGATCCCTCATATGTTCTTCACGAATCAACAAACAAACGGTTGGACGTCCTGAAAGTCTCCAATATTTTCCAACGAATCGAAGTTCTGTTTTAATATCGTCTATTAATAAAGCCATGTCACGGTACAAATAAAATTGTGATACTTCGAATATCAATGGGTAGCATAATACAGTCATTCCACAAACTCGATATACCTACATCGATTTATCATTTAGTAATATTTTTTAATTATTAATTGACGCGTTTACCCTTTAAAATAAATTTTTATGTACTTTGCTCGTTCCTAAAGATCCGATAGGTCTTGCCGGTCTACCTTGAAGATTTAATTTTTTATTAATCCCAAGCTTTTGATAGACTTTTATTAGTTGCAATGACGATAAAATTCGGACAGGTTCAACTTCGTGGGGTGTTTGAGTTTGTATCCCATAAGTAGCCATCATAGCTTGCAGTCGCATTGATTCAGCAATTAAAACTATTTGTACCACTAAATCTGTGTGAGTACCCTAAAGTAAAAATTTTTTAACAAATATCTAATGAAAAAAAAAAAAAATCTAATTTAATGAAGGATGTTAATGGCCGTGCAAAAATTTAAGCAATAAAGTTTACACAAATTTACAATAGCGGTAAATAAAAAATAAAAAAAAAATCATGAAATAAAAATTATTACATCGAACAAATCGTTATTGCTGTCATTCAAAAGAAATATTAACTAAGCATATACTTAAAATTTTAAATTATATACAAAAAATTAATAGAACAAACTTTAAATTAAATTTTAAATTTAACATTTCACAATCAATAACTAAAATTTACTTACAATGGTAGGTTTTGCCTGCATGAAGTTTAAAAAAATTTTTTTAAAAAGTCTGCACGATTCGATACTTAATATAATTTAATGTTATAGATAAAATATTTCAATATTGATAACTATATTGATTGAATAATTATATTTTAATGAATATAAAAATTAAAAAAAAGTGTAACTAACTTGGAAAGCAGAATATCTGCCTGCGCGACGAGGTCTGTTATATGACGGAAGATAACGACGAATTGGATCCAATTCATTAATGTGCAAGAGTCCTAATGTAAGTAATTGAGCTATAATGAACATTGCTTGATTCCACAAGAATAAAGTGCCGTCTTCTTCGTTACTCGAAGATTTAACACTACTTCCTTCAATACTTGCTACACGATATGTACTTCCAGGATCTTGTCTTTCCATTTCGATGCTTTTGTCAGGTACATAGTAATACATTGGAATTACAGGATCTCAAAGTGATATAAAAAACATTTACATACACCAAATAATTGTAATAATTTAGAAAAATATATTTTACCACCAAATGCATTTTTATGAATTAGCTTCTTCAATAAATTACTATACTCGTCAACTTGTTCAGGCATTGATTTAAAAACTCCATCAATTATCATGAATATATAAAACAATGGCCATTCACATTCAATTTTATCAAATTCCTAAATTAAAAAATTCACCGTATTACTAATAAACTTAAATTTAATGACTGAAAATCTTTAATGTTTTGGCTTTTTAATGGTTATTGCAAATTTATGTAATCTATTCTCGATATGTTACAACTCAGTCTAAATGATCAAGAACATAATCAATCCTGATGTTTCACGTGAAAATTTTCCACAAAAAAATTTTTTTGAAGAATTTTCAAATCTGATATCTTTTAAACAAATCATTTATAATTTTGACCTGTTGTGCAGGATTCGACGTTGATTTCCAAGCGTAGAGGTTCCGAATATCAACTAGCTAAGAAGTATCAAAGTTACTTTGAAAAAACACATATTTGAAAATTTTAATACCATGTGTTAAAATTACTTGAAATAAGCATTCAAAAGCCAAATTTTACTAAATTGAAAGTTCAAAGCAATTTCGGTGAATTCAATAAAACAAAAATTTTTACCTTAATTTCACCAGACTTATAAAACCGTCGTTTACTGTCCTCAATTACTGTTTTATAACCATCACGGCTAAATCGTTTAAAACCATAAGATCCTTTCAATTTTTTAGTTATGTTGTTTTTTGTTTCATTGAATAAAACTTCTTCATGTGTAGCAAAAGCAGGAAATGAAATAGTTGGCAGTAGAGCTGCATCGACACTCTAAAAAAAAAAAAAAGATGCGAAGATTTCGAAGAGTTAAAAAGTTTTGTTTATAATTTTAAATAATGATTTCTTTGTTTACTTTTGAAGTAGATTCTCTTGGAAGCATTGTTTCGAAAATGCTCCTGTTACGATTATGAGCATCAATATCGACGTATATGACAGACCAGGAAGCACCCTTTTCACCAAAAAGATTACATCCATTGATTGCTTCCAACGCACTTTTAGCCATTCCGATAGAGCTTGCGTGAATTTCAGGAGTCCCATCATTATAACGACTTCCTCTTTCCCACATTCCATAATCTGGTGTTCTATATGCTCTTTCTACATAATATACAAGATTTTGTACAAATGCTACTTCATCTTGTGTATAGATTATTTGTAAACCAGATGATATAATTTGTACTAAAAATATTAAATACAGAGAAACAACATCAATCTGTAAGTTAAAATATTAATCTATACATTAATACCTTTGCCATATTATTATTCTTAGTAATTTATTCTAATCAACCAATTTAACTAATATTAAATTTACTTACTTGTAAGTGAAAATAATTTTCATCGTTAAAAATTTCATTTCCAGTATCTAAATGAAATTTACAGTGTAAAGCATGTTTATTGCATTGATTTAATTTAAACTTTTCAATTCGATCAGATTGTCTTATCCAACATTCTAATATACCTCTCATGCACTTTACTGCAGATTGACCTAGGTCATGAGATTTACCTCTGTCATCATCAATACGTCTGTAAAAAGATCATAAATTTGAAAAAATTATTTTACTATAAATTCAAACTACGCAATAATATCTAGACAAAATATTTTTATGATTCAATAAATCAAGTACCTATACGCTTGGTATAAACTCCAAATCGAAGCAGCACAATAAATACTTTCTCTAACACTTCCAACTGTTTTGTCGTTTGATACTTGTGGGAATAAGCCGGTAATGCAACTTTGATAGCGTAGAATTTGTCGTTTTACTGATCCAAACATAATAAATGTTAATAATTTTTAAAAAATAATTAATGTATTTCAAAGTTAAAAAATATAAAATTTTTAGTAAAATATGGGTGATTCTAAGCCAATTCGATCACTTTTGAACTCCGATCTGTTTCGATTTAAATAAAAATTTTTTTTACCGTATTGAAAACAAATTTGAATTTTTTCGAAAAGCCGATAATTTTTCAAGTATAGACTAGATAAATTGTTTTCACTTTATCTTTGGATGACTTTTTCAAAAAAAAGTTTTAAAAAATTTACAAATTCTATAAAAACTTTTAGTCTTTTTTAACCTACCGATTAATTCAAAAATATTATTTTAAAGATTGATACTATTAAAAAATCAAGATAAATTAGATTTAGATGTTATTTTACGGAAAAGAGAGATTAGAATTAAGAAATCAAAGGTTTGATTAAGAAAAAAAAAATCAATTACTAACATTTTTTTATCACTTCAAAGCGAACAGCCAAGTTTTTTTTAGACTAAGCTATCGTTAAAATGTAACTGAGATGTGAAAAAAATGTAAATAAGATACTCTAAAAATTTTAAGAAAACTTTAGAGAGGATAATTTAAAGTAAAGTTTTAGGATAAGTCTAATCAACATAGGAAGAAATATATATTAAGTTTACATTTAAATTTTAAATAAGATTATTAAAAGCAGGATTAAAATATAAGATTATAAACACAAAAAACATGACACTTACTTATCCCATAGTAAAAATCTAATTGTTTAACTGTGTCTTCGTAATTTGAAATTTTTAAAAACATATCAATGTCAAAATCATAAACACTGCCTTGTCGAGTATTGAACGACCTTGAAAAAAAAAAAAAAAAGTGATTAGCATATTCGTTTTTAATATTACCTTCAATTAAAGCTTAATTATAATAGATTAATGAATGTTTATACTTTTTGGTATTTATTGGAGAAGTCTCAATCGAAGTCATTATAATTGTGTTCCTTCAAAAGTATTTAGAATATTTACCAAGGTTATAGTAATCTACTGCTAGTCATAAGAAATTTCATGATTAACTTTTTTTTATTCTTCTTTATTTATATACACACACATACATGAACACGTGTGCGTACCCGCGCGTGCGTCTACGCACTCTTATACAGCTATACGTATTAAATTTATAAATCTCAGTTGAAAAATTGGTTCATCTAGTGTCTCATTTTTTTATGTTAATTTTTCATTTTTCAGATCATATATTTTTCAAATTAACTTTTTTTGTCAAAATTGTTGATAAATTCTTAGTGTAACATGTCCTTCTATAATAAACCAGTTAGTGGTAAAGTGATGCCAGCATCTTAAACAAATTGAGATCAACTCCGATGTGCATTAGAATTTTTTCTGGAGAACTAAAATATCAGTAAATTAAAGTCGTATTTTTATAATAAACCCTTTTTCGATAAAGTTTCATTAAATTTCAGATACCTATACAAAAGAGTAACCTTCTCGTAAAGGATTACTTAAGTTATGTAAATTTTTCATCTCCAATGTATCGAGCAGATTTAGGCAGAGGTAGCACTATTGACAAAAGCGAAACTTTCTAACGTTATACTAGTAAAAGTTTATAATATCTGTCTAAGCTCCGTGGTGTTTTGAAAAATTTTAATTTAAAATTCTTTCATCACAAATCTTGGTATTTAAAAATATTGGAATGACAGTGACATCTAAAGTTTTCACTTGAAAAATTCTGAACTCAAAATGGAAGCTAACCTCACGTGCTCCAATAAGAGCACGCTTCACCACAAGTTAGTATCAAGTTCCGCGTTGGTCGTCGGTGACGCTTAGGTAGTAAATAAACAAAGAGGGTAAATTGGAAGTGGAAATTTATTTAAAAAGAAGCGGCATAATGTCATTTAGTCATTTACTTCAGACTTGAAAGTGGCATCTTCAAATTTTTTTCTTAAATTGCAGATAACTTTTTATACATTAAACAGACGCAACTAATCAAATTATTCATCGGGTATTGCATGTCATTATAATAGCATTCTTTAGGTATTATAGGAAAATTTTAAATATAATAATAAATGATTTCAATTTATTTTACAATATGATTATTTGATTCACACATGGCCTATGACAAATGAATATTCAAGAACCAGGCAAGTAGCGTACTCATAATTAAATCGGTTTTAATTGTAAAAAAAAAAAAAAAAAAAAAAATCAAAGACACAAAGTATTTTTGTCTAATTTATTTTTAATCCCAACGTATTCGTTTGGTCTTATAAGACATATTTTAAACTTCCTAGAAACTCAACAGTTTTCACTAATTAATAAATATAGCTTGAATACAAAATATTTTTATATTTTAAAATTTTTATCAAATATTAAAGTATTTTTTATTATTAATTAATAAAATAGTTAAATTAACCACTAAATTTTATAATATTAAATTCATTTATTTTTTTTTTCTTTTTCAATAAATAATAATAATAATTAACCTTATATTTAGACGAGAGCTATTTACAATGTCTTCTTATAAATTTCACATTTCATTTATAATTGTTATCAAAGTAATGAAACTGAAATTAATAGACACCTGTCATTTTTTTTTTTATTTTTACAACAAATAAATTACTACTAAGAAGACATTTAAAAAAAAATTACAATAATTTTTTGACATATCTACAAGTGGAATTTTTTAGAAAAATTTTATTTATAATAATTTATTTGTTTTAAAAAAATCATAGAAATCATCAGATTTCTGATAATTTTAGTGTCAGATCAATAATTATCATCCGTTTTCTTTTATGTAACTTATTTGAATAATTTTAAATATTTTAAATCCGTTTTCTTGTCTGTGAAGAAATTACATATAAATTGTAAAAAAATTTTAGTTTAAAAAATATTTTGTTCTCTATTACATAAGTGCTAAAGTCGAGTACTTTAAAATTTTCCAATTTTTCTATCTATTATTTAGCATGTGTACTTGCACAGAAATAAAGTACAATAAATAATAAAAATAAAAAATTTTGCATACGGAACATATACATGCAATTTCGCTAAAAAAAGATATCTTAAACCGGTTGTCGGCGTCACAAGTATACACGTGCAGACAAGAAGTAAAAAGTACTCAGCGCGTACATAGTTGTATTTCGCTGTTGAGTCTATATGTATGTACGCGGCCCTCACCTGAGGGAAATCCCAGGTTGTGCAGCATGGGAACGACTAAAAAGTGGGGATGAGAATCACAAAAGAGTCGCAGCAGTTGCCGGTATGAGATATGAAGCCCTATCTAGTTGAGTCGCGTAAGCCGTCTGAGTAATAGTGTAAGTAGCACAGCAGTAGAGTGTGTACTTTTATATTTTATTCCTGTATATTCTATACAAATATTGCTTTTTTTTTGTTTTTTAGTTTTGAAAATTGGTGTTATTTTATGAAAAATTACAGTGCGATAAATAATCATGATTATAAAATAATAGAAAAACTCGTCTTCTGATGTTAAACAAAAATTAATAATGTGAAAACATACATACAAACAAACAAGTGACTAAGAACTACTTATGAACCATTTGTGTATACAACCTTAAAAAATTATTTGAGTATTAAAAGTTGGTTGTTATAAAAAAGAACTATTCTATTAAATATTATCAAATTAAAAAGCTATAAAATAAAATTAAGAGTATTAATAAAAGCGTCAGTACCAATCGTAATAATCTGAACCTATTATAAATTGAAATACTTTGTTAAAAAAACAATACACAAAATCACAATTCGATTCTATTCATCTAAATAAACAATTATAAAATTCAATTCAAGTTATTTTAAATAAAGTAAATGAACTAGCTTATCAATTAGCTCTTTTGGAATGTAAGTTATTTAAATATAATATATAATAGTATATATAAATATAATTAAAATGTATAAATATTTTTAGAAGGAAGAAGAAAATAATTGAAAACAATTGGAAATTTGCATCGTTTGCATCGAAGGCCTTGTCTCTAAGTAACAGTATTTCCGCTGCTGTGGTTGCTTGGAATAAGCCATTCTCCTTCATAGAACGGGACTCACTCTGAACGCGAGTCTGTCGTGCTGTCCGCTCCTACGCCTTGTCTTATTGTCCTGATTATTTTTTACATAAGTATATGTTTATGCTACCCATAATACAATAATTGTATCGCTTGTATCTCGTATTCTCTGCTGTCTTAATTTCAAATCAAAGCAACTTGGTCAGTTGTTTACAAATTGGTTCATTGGAGAACTTACTGTCTGCCTTAGATGGAAATCACTCAAGGATTTGAAACTTACTGTGTATTGAAGAATAAGTATGCTGAGTTAAAGTTATCAGTTCTAAGTGTAAACATCAAGACCATATGCAGCTAGGGCAGTTTAACTTTACAACTGTCAATAAGAGAAAAGCGGTATTCTTAATCAACTTTCATATAGTATTTAAAACAGTTATAAAACACGACATTATTTTTAAAAATTAAGAATAAATAGTTAAAAAAGAACTTCTTAAATTCTTTTACACGGAATATTAAATGAAAATAAAAAAGCACCATTAAAGTAGAAAGTAGTTTATTACAAAATAATCTAACAGTGAAAACATACGATTTAAGTATTTGACGTTGATTTTGTGCAAACATGAATTCAAAAGTAAGGTATAGTGGCAAAAAAATAAATGCATTATCGAATAGATTTATAACTACCTAGTTATAATAATGTTGATAAATAATTGTTTATGGGTGATTATTATAAAAAAACAGTATTAATTATCAAAGAAATTTCATTCATTATCAGAATATCATTGTTGGATTAACGAAATGAAGACAACGCAAAAAACATTTAGGTAAGCTTATTTATATTGATAATTTATTTATTTCTTATCTAATACATAGACTCAAAATCGTAAGTCAATACCAAGGTCACTTAATTATACATATTTGGAGCCTGAGTAACGATTGCTAATCTGATTAGCTACAAAGTTAGGCTGCAAGTATTTAACATATTTTGAATATTATTTCATAAAAGCGTATAGTAAACATAGTAATGAGTGGTAAACGAAAGATGAGGATCATTGATCAAATAAATTTAAGGAGTAATAGTTTGAAAGCGATTCCCGAAAAAAGGAAAAAATTTTCAAAATGAAATCTACAAATAAAAACAATAATTCATTAGTACAATTCGTATTCAATACTGTAATAGTATTAATTGATAATGATTAATTTTTTTATCTGGGAAAATAATATTTTTGGATCTGTTTTTTAAAAATCAAATTTTTTTTTAATTTGAGAAAATATTCTATAAAAAGATGTTTAGCTTGGAATTCATGTGTTCGAATAAATACTTTTTATCACAATTTAATAAAGTAATTAAAAACAGTATCCCAAGCGGCGCAAACATTTTGTTGAATTTAAGTTGACGATTATTAATTTTTTAACTTCTTGTTGAGTGGAATCTATCAAAAAGTCAACATTTTTTTTGTGACGCTTGGGATAGTAATGTTTTATGTGCAAAGAAATATACGGATTGTTGACTTTTAAGATAATAGCTTAATTTGCAGTAAAGTTACTTACAACTAATAATTCTCATCTATATTTTCGAAGATTTTTTTTTGAAAAGAATTAATATCACCAATTTGAAAAAAAAATTGTTTTTCCTGAAACAACATTAAGTCAACTTTTCAAAAAGTTATGACTGTCAACAGCTAATCTTTTTGATATTTTTTTTTTTTTTAAAATCAATGTTTTATTTTAAAAGACAACTTAAAAATATTGTATTTGTAAGATTTCAAATTTCTTAAAAAACGATTATAGGGCGCTGATTTAAAGTAAAAGACCCGGTTACTGACACTGGCTTAGTTGTTTAACATTTGCAATTTAACTCTTATTAAAAAAATAAAATGTTCTCAAAAAACCAATTATCTTAAAATTTATAATTCAAAAATTATATTTGTTCATTTTTTTTTAATTAAAATAAAATTACAATGTCAATAAC